CATTTCTTGTTCACTACTCAGTGCGTTTCTGTACTTGGATTATAATAATAGTATTAATTTAATCGAGAATGTGACAATTGAATATGAATTAATTTCTCAGCAGCGCATAATTGATTTTTATCAGTGTTTTCACGTTGTATTGGAAAAAAAAAAAACAATTTCATATCAATCAATGTCTTTATAAATATTGATGATTTGATGATTTTAGCACGTCTTGCATAATAGAGAGAAATAAATTGGAATTGTAATTATTATCCAATTATATATCATTCAATTTATGATGACGTTATGACGTTTTTTTTTTTTAATAAAAAGAAATGCAAATCAAAATTCTAAATTTTTTTTATCTTGAATTGTTTTAATGTTAAATATAATTAAATTTTTCTTCATACGAATACAATATGAAAAATGAAAAGAATTGAGAATAAATTTATACATTCGAGCAAACATATTTTTTGCTCTTATACGACCGCACTCGGTCGTTATCGATATATGCCATTTTTACCAAAGTTAAGAAGGCAAAGCAACTTGTTGGCGTGTCACGAAAAAGTTTTTACGGAATGCCTGCGACTAATGTCTATAGCCGAATTTATTCGCAGCTTTGGCCGCGTGAAACAGACTGCAGTTAGAAACACGTATATCGTACTTACTACGGAAATACAAATGTTTCGCCATATTTCCTTGGCACAATACCCTTGAATTACCCTGTATCTCGGTTCTTGGTATTTCGATTAAAGAGAATACTTTAGTTGTACTTTGTTAAAAACTTTCGGCTCACGTGACCGTAAATGTTTTCTGTACAAAATACTAGCAAAATACTTGAATACGAAAAATATATTTTGTGATTTTGTTTGAGAAGCAATAGAAAAAGTCTGTGCAAAGAAACATACATCGATAATCGAACTTTAGGCTGTAATTATAAATTTACATTCAATCAGATATTAAATCTTCAATATGTGATATTTATTTTAATAGAATTAATACAGCTCTTTTTAGAATGCATTTACATAATAGTGGTCAACTATCGGTTTTTATCAGTTATTCAATAAAAATTTAAAGAAATATTAAAATGTAATTTGTATATTTAAATAAATCCTATTAATAAATTATTGCGGTTACAATTTTAATATTTTACATTAATTAATAAAGTCTTATTACTTTAAATTGATCTATCACTTATCCAATTGATCCAGATAATATGTTATATTTTTGGACATATATAATACAAAAATAGTTAATAGCGTGATGCAGGCCTCGGAGAGATAAACATGTCAGATACTTTAATTCGTCCGATATCGCTTTACGCGTTTTAATTAAAACTTTTCGGCTTGAAAAGAAACTTTGATCGATTGCAAAAAGCGGATTACTTAATTCTGTAGGAAAACGAATATAAAGGAGACTCGTCCTGTTCGGACGGATCTTTCCTTTCCGTTTACTCCCGGATAAGCACACTTCTCTGTTAGCTCCTCCCTTTTCCCGCATCACTACCATCTTCCCAGAAAGTTACACTGACAGGACCCAGCCAGAGAATATCCGAATCAGCCTGCGAACAAAGGGAACGAAAAATCGTGAGAAGTTCTCCCGCGCCACATTGCGCCGTGCCGGTATGATGTCCCGAAGTCGAATTTATTCGCGGGTTAAAGCGTAAAATCGGCCACCACCGACACAGGCTCGAAACTGGCGAAATCGTATTACTCGATGAATATGCAGTACGATTTTGCGGTCGAAAGTTTTCGACCGTCGGTTGTAACTCGCCGTGGGCTGTTTCTGCTTCCGCTCGCACCGTAGCCCTAAAACTGACGGCAACGGAGACGGCCGGAATTCTCGCAGAGACGTATTCTAATTAGGACAAAAAGTGGAATACATCACGCGGCTCGTCTCTAAATTCACATTCATATTCCCGAAATACCGTTCGGTGCTCCTTAATTGGTTCCTTTGCTATTGCCACCGAGTGCTGCGGCAAGAAATCATTTAGGATCCAGAAATTAATTAAGAATCGCGTAGGAAACGGCGATTAATTTATGTTACGAATTAGTCGGCTCGTTAAAAAGTAACCGCAGCATTGGGCACTTAATTTATCTTGATATTTTGAAGTGCGCTGATATGGGTACGGTTAATTGATGAATTTTCGATACTTGCAAGATAATTATACAGCGTATAATCAAGAGGGCAATAGATTGACATCTAATATTTTCAAGAAATAGTCTTTCAAAGCAGCATCTTGAACATATTTATTAAATTACCTTTATTTAAAATTATATTCTTTAGCAATTTAAAATTCTATTATTCTATTATATTTTTTCGCTTGGTTATGATTTATATAAAAAAAATATCAATAAAATTATCCACAAAATTCTCCGTAAAATCAATACAGTTCTGTTTTAGAAAACATTAAAAAGAAAGACAGTGCAAAGTTGTAAAATAAAAGTACGCAATTTTTCATCGTAAAATATTTTGTTATTTAAAAATTTCTGGTAAAAGAGTAAAGAGATTTGTTCTTTATTTTATTAATTTGTTTTGTTATTTTACGAATTTAACTGAATAGAATGAAATTTTTAGGATTTTATCCATTCGAATAACGACCGAAGTGTTCGAAGATAATTTGCCTCCCCGGGACATAATTCGATTTCTCTATCGTGCTAAATGTACCCTCGTTACCCAATTTCCCGATCGAGCTATCGCTTCGAATTACTATCTAATTCGTTATATTCGATAAAATCTATCACCAAACCATCGATTATAAAGATAAAAGAAGACTGTTAAAAATTATTATATACAATATGATAGCGTTAAGTGACTTACTGTGAAACTCAGAAAGATATTTAAAGAGAAATATTACAAAAAAAAACTAGAATGTTTTTTAAACATTCACGAGAATGCATTGATTTGTTTCAAGAATCTAATTAAAAAATT